TCGGTTCGGTTGCTTCACAGGAGTGTAGAGATTGCACGCATCGCTTTTTAGCTCCTTCGTGGCTGTTCGACTTTGCTCCTTCGACGACTTTCCCTTTCCTGTCAGGATCGTATGCTCACATTTTGTCGGAGAAACAACGGCAGCTCGCTGCTGTTGAGGTACGTTTCTTCACTCGAGGCGCTGCCTCGATGACGCCTCGACGCCTCACGCCGGTGAGGCGTACGCCTCCGTGAAAAGGCGTAACTCGCCGAGGTTCGAGGCTTAAGCTCATTCACCGACCTCCGCCTCGAGCGTCCGCCTCGAACGCACTTTTTACATCGATGGTTCAATAAGTAATTTATATTGGCCATTTAAAAGGAAGCATAATACTAGAAAGTGTGACAAAGCATGAGGTTATGTCAGGGGATGAGTGGTTGTACCTTAGAGATAGATCGAAATGAGCATATACGTGAAAGGTTGGTAGCTCCATTAGAAGATAAGATTAGAGAGAGTTGCCTTAGATGGTTTGGTCACATAAAATGACAGCCTTCCGATGACCCGGTTAAGAAAGTAGAGGTATTAGATTTGACTTATGTTAAGAAAGGTAGAAGCAGACCTAAAAAGACTTGGTTAAAAATATTATAAATGATCTTTCTTTATTGGATTTAAAAGAGAATTTGACTTTTAATAGGACAAAATGAAGAAAAAGGATTCATATAGCCGACCCCACGCAATAGGATAAAGACTATGATGTTGTTGTTGTTGAGTTGTTCGATAAGTATTACTTGTTTGTTTCTTTTATGTAAGGCTTGTGAATATTTTCATTAGATTTATGATTTATTAATTGAGTTTCTAATTTTTTTAATCTCCTATGTTTATGTGAAACAGTGGTATCTTGGCAGCTGTTGATATTATTGGAGATTCCACCATAGTTGGTGTAAGTCAAAGCTATTATTTATGCATTCTTCAAAACTATGTTTACTAGATATCCCAGGATTTAACTATTCGAAATGTTACCCATAATTTTTATCAATGCATATAAAATTAAAGTTAAAGAGTCGCATAATCGAACTCTAGCTATAATCTGTTGATGAATTATTGCTTTAGATTTGATGGTTCAACCTGGCACTACTTTCAGCTCTATTTCCGTTGCATTAACATTTATTTAAAGATCTTTGGAGCTTAACATATGCAGCTCTTAAGTTTAAAAATTCCATGGATATTTTGTGGAGTTAAGATAGATGATTGAATTGTTATTTCACTTCACGCACGCTTCATCTTGCTAAAAATTGATCTTCATCTTGTCAATAAATCTGGATTAAATTTTGTTTACAGATATTCTACTTTATTGGATTTGGGTTCTTCTGCATCGAATCACTGCTGAGCATTTGGGTTCTTCAGGTTATGTTATTTCTTTTAATATACCTTTTCTCAACTAATGCTTTAGAACTAATATAAGGTGCTGAGCTTCAGATTGTAGCACATCTCCACTCAGGTTGCACACACTTGCAAACAATTAACAAGAGCCATTATTTTCTTCATGAAATGTAGTAATTAAAAAAAATTCATGTCATCCGGATCAAATTTTAATTAGAATGGATTTTATGTTTTGAATTTACGCTAAGATTAATGCCATAAGTTTTGATTGATTTGTTGCAGGGGTGAAACCAACCTTAATTTTCAGGGGGCAAACTTATAAGTAAAAGTTTAAAGATTTTTATTTTTTTTCATAAATATCCTTACAACCAAAATTTGTTATGGGGGCATTGCTATTCGACCCCTATTTGTTCATATCATCGATCTTTGTACGCTTCGCATATATGTTGAGGTTCGACCTGCCCGGTCAGGTAACGGGGTCAAGCGGCAGCCCTGCGGGGGTTTCCCGAGGCAATCGCCTAAAAACTCTTGTAATAAAAACTAAAAAATAGATGAAGGGGATAAATTACCTAAAGAATCATATAACAAAGAATTTTTTTTAATTTTTTCATAGTGACAATACCCCCGGGCTTAAGGTGGTTTATTGTATATTACGCTAATCTCAAACCATTGAATTTACCACTGTAATATCTGTTAGTTATGATATGATCCTATTGTTGGATCTTTAGAACTTTAAAAAGTGAATATTTATTCTATTTTTTTAAGATAATTACATCTTATTAATAAACATCTCCACTAAATACTATGCTCAAATTTTGGTGCAGCAAGTATACATGTACTTCCGCGGAACAGGAAAGGCTGCACAGATGAAGCGAGAGGCAGCGCGTGGGGCAATGAGGGCTGCTATTTAACAATTATTATTATCCATACGATATCAGATGCTCAAATCTTGCTTTATTTTTTGCGTTCGGCTGTTTGTTCTTATTAAAATGGTATATATATATATATATATATATTTGTGTCCATGCTTGTATTTTTTTTGCTAATATACTTGATAAATATGACTGAATGAATGGTCATTTTTGTATTGTTTATGAGAAATATTTTTGATGAAGATGAATGATGATTTTTTATTGTGATTTTGTATTGTTTTACTATAAATTTTATAGGAGGGACAATATCTTATCTCTCATTGATACAGTTTTTTGTTTTCTTTTTACAAAAATTTATGTCAGGAGTTGGAGATTTCTGTTTTTCCAGGAAATTATAAGAAATTGGTTTGAAGGAATAGGTTGTAATGCAAATATTCATTTTAGTTCATGATTTTGTATTGGTTATTTGGGTTTAATTTAATATAGTGGGATAAAAGATTGTTGTTGTTGTTTTTGTGTGGATTTATTTAATAAATTTGGATAATATTATCATTATTATTATTATCATTTAATTTTAGTAAAAATGTTGACAAAGTTATTAAATTATTATTTGGACTGACATATTCCTTTTTCATAAGAAATAAAACTTTAATTTCTTTAAACAAAATAAAAAGATTTCCTCACCTAACTTTTTTTCTCAACCAAATAAAAGGTGAAAATGAATGTATTTTTAATTATTCCTCTGGAATGCTTGGTTCTTATCATTTTGATAGAATATCTAAGCTTATAATATTCTTTTCGGGAGAAATTATTCTGTATGGATACGAGACAGTTTGTAGATCAATCAGAATGTATTATGTTATTCAGTACATAGTGGTAATGATGATCGATACGGAGTAAAAAATTGACATGGTGCATTCTAATTTGTCTCCGGATGTCATTCGGGATTCACACAATAATTTTTCTGATATCAGAGGGTAGCTATTCCAATTGTATCTTATTTAGGAGTCTCTCTGTTTTTTTAAATCTAAAATACAAGAAATTTATAGTTAGGGAGAGTAATTAGATTTAAATCAAGTACTAAATATATAATTAAAAACAATTAAAGGCTATTTGAGAGCTCAAATATCTTTTAAATTTTATATTTTTATATTCAAAATTGATGCTTAGATAAGATGAATCTAATGATTGTTATAAGGTACTATCAAAGGGAAATGTTTAAACTGCTCAATGAGTTCCAAAGAATGTTTGTAAACACTTTTTCCGACTTTGCAAATGTAAATGAAGCGGCTCATACTACGCCATTGTCACTCCCCTCCCCAAATCAACTCAATCCAATCTCCTCTACGATCCAAGTTTCTTTCCCTCTGCGACTCCGGCGATCTCTTGGCGGCGATTCTCTTACTCAACTCAGCAGACCGATGTTTTCTCCCATCTGAGCCCATCATCTTTGCATCCCTCCTCCAAGCTTCCACTCGCTCCTTCTCATTTCCGTTCGGCCTTCAAATCCATTCTCATATCCTCAAAGCGGGATTAGACGCCGACCGCTTCATAGGTAACTCCCTCCTCTCCTTCTATTTCAAACTTTGCCCCGATATTTCGGTCACCCGCAAGGTGTTTGACGTGTTGCCTGTGAAGGATATCATCTCCTGGACCTCCATGGTCTCCGGCTACGTTCGTGCTGGACTGCCAGTCGAGTCTCTGAAGGTCTTCATCTCCATGTCAGATGTTGGTGTGGAACCAAATGCATTCACCCTGTCTTCTGCGGTGAAGGCAAGCTCCGAAATGGAGAATCTAGGGTTAGGACAGTGCTTCCATGGGAAGGTAATGGTTCGTGGCTTTAGTTCGAACCGAGTTATCTCTAGTGCGCTGGTAGACATGTATGGCAGAAACTGTAGAATCGAGGATGCCCGGAAATTGTTTGTTGAAATGCCTGAACCAGATGCCATCTGCTGGACTTCAGTGATTTCAACATTCACACAAAATGATAGATTTGAGGAAGCTCTGGGGTTCTTCCGCGGTATGTTGCAGAGAATTACTAGCTTAGTTCCAGATGAGTTCTTGCTTGGGACTGTTTTGAGTGCATTGGGTAATTTAGGGAGATCAAGGCAAGGCAAGGAAGTTCATGCAAAGGTCATAACCAATGGGCTAAATGGAAGGGTTGTCGTTGAGAGCAGTATCATTGATATGTATGCAAAATGTGGTATTGTGGATGATTCCCGCCAGGTTTTTGATAGAATGGAAAACAAGAATGCAGTATCTTGGTGTGCCTTGCTGGGAGGTTACTGCCAAAATGGTGATTTTAAGGCTGTGCTCGATCTTTTCCAGGCAATGGATGCAGATGACAACCAATATAGCTTCAGTACTGTGCTCAGGGCTTGTGCTGGCTTATCAGCAGTGATGCAAGGGAAGGAACTCCATTGTCACTTTCTCCGAATTAAGGGAGGCAGAAATGTGGTGATCGAGTCAGCACTAGTCGATCTTTATGCAAAATGTGGTCTGGTGAGCTATGCTCATCGAGTATTCTCGAATGCCATTACAAAGAATTTGATTACTTGGAATGCAATGATCTGTGGTTTTGCACAAAATGGTCAAGCTGGACAAGCTATTGAGATGTTCAATGATATGATCAAGGGGGGAACAAGGCCAGACTATGTAACATTTGTAGCAGTGCTCTTTGCTTGCAGCCACACAGGAATGGTTGAAGAAGGGAAAAAACATTTTAGATCAATGAATGAAGAGTATGGCATCAGTGCTGGAATTGAGCACTATAATTGCATGGTTGATCTTCTAAGTAGAGCTGGAATGCTTGAAGAAGCTGAAACTTTGGTATTGGATTCTGCTTATAGAGATGATTCATCGCTATGGGCAGCTCTTCTTGGTGCTTGTGCCACCCATCGGAGCCCGGCATTGGCAGAAAGAGTTGCGAAGAAGATGATTGAGCTAGAACCAGGTTATCACCTAAGCTATGTTCTTCTTGCAAATGTTTATAAGACGATTGGTAGATGGAATGATGCTTTGGAAATTCGAATGTTGATGAGAAAGAGGAGGGTGAGGAAGGAAGCTGGGAGGAGCTGGATTGGGGCTCAGAATAGTAGCTTACATAGTCAGAGGTCTGTTAATTCTTTCCATTGTGCTAGTGTGGAGTTTAAAGAATTGGCTGCATGAATGGAAGGCTGGAAGCTGTTCCTTGTCTTCAACATTTGGAAGGAGTTTAGGAGCTATTGGTAAGCTTAATAACATGCTGAGAAATAAATTACAAATAGGCTTTAATCTAAAGTTTTCGAATGAGATATAAATTCAACTACTTGATTTTAGAGGAAATCTTCTCCTCATAGTGATATGAGCTCTTTTTTTGGCACTTTTATTATGTGTTCTTATTTATCTATATAATTTTATATTGTCTTGTTAGTGCTTTTGATTTTATATTCTTTTTTGTCACAACTAAAACTTAATTTCTAAAAATTAAATTACAATTACTTGATAAGTATGGTCCTTGATTTCTGCTGATTCCTTAGATTATTTCGATGAATTGTTATTAATTGTGCTATAATTCTAGTATTGACTATTTATAGTTTTAAAAAATAAGACCTCAAATTTAATTGGTGACTTTGTAAACTGTTAATCAAATTATTTTGCATGAATTCATATTATGCATCTATTATTACATTAGAAACCTTTTACCCGTAATTGTCCTACATTAAATCAGTATTAGAGCTATAGCTAGCATAACATGCTAAAACTAAATGTAGGACATATTAATTGATCAATAAAATAAATTGAAATAACTCTGCAATTAAAATGAAATCATGTAAATTATAATTCTAGACAAACTACAACGTGATCATCTATATAATTTTATATGTCTTGTTAGTGTTCATGATTTCATTAACATCTTTTTGATTTTTTTATATTTCTTTTTATATTTTTTTAATGAGGTGAACTATATCTGAGAAGGTCCCGTTTAATGTTCAAAAAAAACTTTAGGCTACCGAACTATAAAGCATTTATAGCATTTATGATTTTTTTTTGCAGATGCAGCAGCACAGTTGGAGCTGAAGTCTGGCGACAGCTACTGTGAAGGAGGTTACTTATTTGTTAAAGGCCCAGCAAAGGCACCTGCAAAAGAGAAGTGTTTGCAACTTTTGCTGTAAAGTTGATCTGAGTGTATCCAACAAATGGACTTGGTGGATGACAAATTATAAGATGAAGACTTAGTCGTGAATCTCTTGTACCCCGAAAGGTTCTATTAAATAAAACAATGAAGCAGAAAGTCTTTTTACGAGGAGAATCAGGCTTCGTTTGGGACGGCTTTTTTGTAGTATAAAAATTAAAATTTATACTAAAAAATTGTTTAAGAATAGAAACAAAGCCGTCCCAAACAAATGGCTCACTCTCACTCTAGCATTGGGGGACAAACTTGAACAAGCCTTTATCAACTTTGATTATGATCCTATTTTGCAATGCAAAAATGTGGAGCTTTGATGTTAGCTCCATTGATCTTCTCCGATTAATCTTGAATGACTTGGGGTAGAAGCAGGCAGTTTATTGGCAATCCGCTTACTTTTTGGAAATCCAGAACTTTAGAGAGGTGTTCTTTAAGTCTAGATAGTGCCAAATCACATGCCTCTCTCGGTCTTTAAGAAGCTGCACCAATAAAAGTTCTTCAGTTCAAGATCAGCCATGTGGATTTGAAGCTGCTCTAACTGAAAAGGAAGTTACTAAGAAGCTTCAGTTTCATCAAGAATGATATTTTGTTCGTTTTTAGGCGGTGATGAAATCTTACACAGCTTTGGTGGACCGGTAATCCTCGTTGCATCTCCTATTTAGGATGAAATTTATCTGTGAGGACACCGGACAGAAGAAATTTAGATATTTTAATTTGTGCTTTGCAAAAGGATAAAATGACAGCAAAATATTAATTATTAATTCGTTTTTTACTATCTTCTTGCTGCCCTTTTACAAAAGTTCGCAACAAGATTTAATTATTTATAATATTATATTTGCTACTTTTTTAATGTCCGGGCAATCTGCGACAGATACATTAGTCCCTATTTTTTTTTCTTTTTGAATTATTAAGTCCTATTAGATGTCTCACAAAATTAATGAGTTAGTCTGCTGTGGTTGGCCCCTGGACTTTTCATCTTCCACATTTTTTGCTTTTTTCTAACCCTCACCCTACTTTCTCATCTCCATTACAGGTTTTTAACCGCTTTTTTTATGTTTACTTTATTTATTTGTACATTACTCTTTTATATACTAAAGCTATTGTTTTATATTGTATTTTATTTTGTTAGTTTTTAATATGCCTTTTTTGTATATTATAAGTGAGCCAAAGCTCCCACTATTCCAAAATTAAAAATTTTCATGTAGTTGTTACTGTAAATTTTTATTTTATTTCACTTAATTGTAAATGTCTTTTCTTATGTAAAAAATTGAAAAGCTTTTCTTTGTCGTATATTATTATATAGTAATATATATATTATAAATAGTATCATATATGTAAAATATATAGTATATATATATTATTATATCATATTTTTCTGAATGATATTGCTATCTTAGACACTATTTAACTTTAGTAGCTAGTGGTCTAGTTCAAGTTTTACTTGCATTATTAAGCAAGCCACTGTTGGGCTGAATTTGGTTCATCGTCAATAAACAGCTCAAGTTGAGCTTTGTGAGCTAAATGAGCCACAAAATTTTAGCCAATCTCAACTCAATTTATTAATTTATGTATGCTTATTTAAAATCTTCTCTTTTTAAAATTTATGGCATTTCTTATTATTTCCTGTATTTCATGCCTCTTTTAATTATTTAATTGTAACAACTTCTTGAATCTTTTATTGTTTTTTAAATAAAATTAAGATGATTTGTGAGATAAGATCTTGAACTTGTATAACAATTAATGGAGCTCTAAATTAAGCTCTTTGATTAAGGCACATAACTGATTTAAGCAGATCTGACCCATTGTTATCTGCAACAACTTTCTACTTATTTACTCGTTGAAAAAAAAAAAAGTTAGGCTTTCATTAAGTGAGACAAACTTTGTTAGTGTTGTCTAAAGTAGCTTTTCTAGTATAAGAAAATATTTTTTGAATGAAATTTTTGTACTAGATTTTTTTAAAAAAATTGAGTTAACAAGCTGTCACATAATAAAGCTTTAGGCTTTGTTTGGGACGGCTTTTTTTAATGTTTTCTCGAAGCAATTTTAGAAGGCACAAAATTTAACCAATTTCGTACTAAAATATTACTTTAAGAAAACAGTAAGAAAGTTTGTTCAAACAAGAAGTCTTATGTGTATCATACTAACTGTTCTATTTATCTACAATAATGATTTGTAACACACATTATATTTTTGGTGCTTAGAATCACACCATAGCCCCGATTTTGCGAGGATGGCCCCACCATGGGATGCTAGCAAAGAGCGAGAATTTTAGCCACTCTTTGCAATGCAAAACATATTGCCACCATGAAACTTTTGCCATCATTGCAATCCTTAATTTTCGCGCTGGGGGGTTTCAAATTTACAGTAAAAAGTATAGGATTATTTTTTTTTTCAAAAAATATCACTTTACATTACCAATAATTTGTGTCGCGAAGGCGCTGGGGCATCCTCTCGACCAATTTAATTTTATTAAATTTGTTCATCCGTTATACACGCTTCTAGATATAATCGGGGTCCAAGGGGACAGCGCCTCCTCTTTCTCATCAACGAATTTTGGTTGTAATGATATGTTTGGATTCTCTTTAACTATTACTCTTTGTATTTGGTTTCATCAATCCTTAACAATACATCTATATCACAAGTGTTTAATTATGTTAGACAATTTGCTTAAAGACGTATAGCTTTTTTTTTATATGTAAGCCAAAGTTATGCCAAACACTATATGAATTAACAAGAAACGACAAGCAGTTGAGATATTGACTTTACAGCAAACAGAGATATTTTGTGGAAGCATCAAGAGAGCTTTGCCAATGAAGGACGGATTAATAAGATATGTAAAGTTCTTTGTAGATTTTGAGATGCCCAACCTAGGGTTGTGTTTGAAGTGCTCATATTCCTATTGATGCCCTACAAAAAACACTTCCACGGTTACAGCCTCACCAGTTTTGACCTTTTTCCCTGCTGTGTGATCTGAGCAGTGCAGCAACATTTATATGAAGTTCTGCCAAAACATAGGTGAACTCACAAATTCAAGATTTTTTTTTTTTTTGAGATGATGAGAACTTCTCGACACTTTTGGAACAACACAACAACTCAAGTCCTTTATCCCACTACGTGGGTCGGCTACATGAATCCTTTTATCTTCCATTGTGTCCAATATAAAAGTCAAATTCTCGATTTAATTAACTAATAAAGAAGAGAGTCCATCCTAATATTTTCTAGACCAAGTCTTTTTAAGGTCTACCCCTACCTTTATTAACATAAGCAAATCTAATTACCAAATCTAAAAGCTATAAACCGGGTCATCTGGGCAAGGCCGCCGTTTTATGTGACCTAAACCATCTAAGGCGACTTTCTCTAATCTTACTTCTCGTACTGGAGCTACTCCAACCTATTTCACGAGTATATGCCATTTCGTATTCCTTCGTCTAAGGGTAAGCCACTCATCCACCTGAGCATCCTCATCTCTGCCACAAACCTATAAACTGAGTATTGATGCTTCTCTTTATAAAGGCCAACAATTCGCACCATAGGAAGCAATTGCAGGCCCTCACTACCTATCTTATAGAATTTTCCCTTAAGTTTTGATGGGTACATTTCTATCACATAAACAAGCTCCCGATGCATTCGCTACACTTCAAAACCTCCAAACTTGAATTCTGCCTGATAATATCCCCATCTATTTCACCATCACTCTGAACACATAGATCCAAGATATCTAGCAAACGTGTACTGCTTAAATTAATGACTTGATCACCAAGTACAATCCCCTCACTAGGTCTTTACTACTAAAATTACACTCTCATAATATCTGTTTTAGATTAACTCAAGCGAAAAACCATTGATCTCTAAGGTGACCTTGCATAATTCAGTTTTACCT